TGAGCAGTACCTGTGTAACCACACAGGAATTTCTCTCATCATGTCTGTGAAACAAGCCCAGGAACCACAGGGAGCCCCAAAAACCTCGATAAATGTGCATGTCAGGCAGAGGCAGGGGCAATCCCTCCATTTATCTCAGCACAGCTGGATCAGCCCTCGGTGCACATCAAACATCTGTAAATTGGCCATTATTTTGGCATGTCCAGCCAGAGTTCCGAGGCTCAGGTCATTAGTGCACAGCAAGGAGCTCTCCCCGAGGCTGGCAAGGCCAGGGCACCTGGAGACTGCTCACGAGGGGTTAAACCTGCAAAATCCACTTGAAGAGAGATGAGCTGACATTGCAGAATAACCTCGGTGCCTGGACGCCAGGAGCACTGCCAGGAGAAGCAGAGAGCTTCACACAGGGGGAAGATCTGCCCTGGCAGTGTGAGTTCACACATCTAACAGCCTTAATTACTTAATTACTATTTTATACATTGTACTCATTTCCTTGATTGTGCTGTGAAATCAAAACACATAATGAAGACCTTTTTTTCCCCTCTAATAAAAGCTGTCAAAGTAAATAAATATTCATTCCCATCTGCCCCTCTGGATGAAGGGAGAATTAATTGATAATTTCCCGAGCTCTGTAACCTCCTGCCCGGTGCTCTGTTCGCTGAGGGCTTTATGTGGAGTCTGAAATCCTGTTAACACAAGTTTAAAAGTCAGGCAGGCGTGGTGCACTAAATCAAATCTGTTTTCTGGGCTGCATGACGAGGCAGAACACCCATCTGCTCCAGGAGCACGCTGCTGTTTGGTGTTCCCAGCAGCAAGGGACACTCAGAGAAGGATCTCAGATGAGCTGTGGTGCAGCCACAACAGGGACACCCACACACATCCCCATTTCTCTGCCCTCTGAAACCTGGTACCCTCTTGGGGATGAAAGGGAGCACAGCCAGGTGATGAGCTGCGAGATCTGCCACAATAATAATAAGAAGAAAAAGAATAATAGATAATAATAATAATAAGAAGAAGAAGAAGAAGAAGAAATAATAATAAGAAGAAATAATAATATCAAGAAGAATAAGAAATAATAAGAATAAAAAGCAGAAATAATAAGAATAAGAAGCAGAAATAATAATAATAATAATAATAATAATAAATAATAATAATAATAATATAATAATAATAATAATAATAATAATAATAATAATAATAATAATGTTGTGGGTGTCTTCTTTTTCCTGCTGTTCCTGCAGGTGTGGGGTGCAGAGCAGGGATGTTTAGGGATGTTTTAGCAGGGATGTGCAGGGATGTTTTGAGCAGAGAGGAGAGGCTGCAGGTGCTGCTCATGTTTCCAGGAGGGCACAGCTGCTCCTGGAGAGGCTGTGGGAGGATAGCAGGACATTTAAAAATCCATTTACAGTGCAAATCTAACTCCTCTTTGTCACACAGGATCCCGTAATGGAAACGTGCACCCCGTGCCGGGGATGAGAGGGAATAATCACAAAGGTAAATGCCACTCCAGGGATTTTGTCTGCCCGTGACATTTGCAGTAGCTCGTTCTTCCTCCAGCTCACACATCCCGTCAGGGCAGCCCTGGCTGGAAATTCTGCATATCCAAACTGCCAAAGCCTTCCAGGAATTCCAGGCCAATGGAGATGGAGGGGTCCCTGCAGGTGAGCAAACATTTGTGAAGCACAGGACAGAGCCCACGGAGTGAGGAGGAGGTGCAGGTTCCCAGGGAAGCCAATTCCACATTTCCACAGGTGTCAGATGTGCCAGAGCCTGCTGTAAACCAGAGCTTTGGGATTTTGGTCAGCACTGAGAGGATAATCAGTGCAAAGCCCAGGAGCAAAAACTCCCTCTCGAGCCCAGCTTTGCAACCAGACACACTGGAAAAAGGAGTTTATGAAAGCAGAGGTGTGGGGGAAGTATACATATTTTATATCTATATATTCTCACACCTATAGATCTCCAGAAAAGGAAAATCCATCTCATTCAGCACCAGATGCTGGACGCAAATTTATTAAGATGAATGAAGCTACTTCATTCCCCTTTAGTGCCTGGAGGTTGAAAACTCAGGCAATATTGCCTCTCCCTGGCATCAGAGCTCTCCATTTCTCCCTGAAGTTCTCAACAATAATTCATGTCTCTGCATGGCATTGATCAGCCAGTCTTTGAGACCCTGCTCTTTGCCTGCATCTTCTCCTGCACTCAGCTCCTAAGACCACGGGGAAGAAAGGTTTCTGGCAGGAAAGATAAAAACTATTTATTGTACTGACCTTTTTGATTAATGGGTGGAGTTAGGTGTGAAATCATTTTTATCAGGTGAACATAATGACTCGCAGGACAACAAAAAGGGCATTTCAATTTTTTATCAAAACCTTCAGTGAGAGCACAATCCCCCCAAGGTGAACTTCGGGGACAGCCCAGGTAGCCAGGAGTGAATAAATATCTTATAACTTTAGTATTAGCTGGGAATTGGCTCATGAATCAGCAGGGATCATTTGAAGGAGCAGGGCTCTCCCTCTCCCTGCCTGTGGAGGGTGATTCCATGGAGCTCTGAGGAGATGGAGTCAAACTCAGACACTCTGCACTTTCTAAATAACTCTGTCAGCAGCTCTACCTCCACTGGGCTTCGTGGGCTGAAATCATCCACTTGAGCCTAATTAACAAGACATTCATGAGATCAGAGTGTCTGGCTGTGTATTAGTCTCTCAAAACATGATAGAGCCGTTCCATTTTTTGCCACGCTGCTGCAGGAAACCTGCCCAATGTTTATCAGCATCAGAGTCCCAGCAAAATCATGGAGCTGCTTCCTTGGACCCTGTGACCCTGACCCTGGAGTCAGGATATTCCATGATTCCATGGAAACCAAATTGAACCGGAGCACACTCAGTTACACCAGGCAGTTAGCAATACACGTGAACGCTTGTAGACACTAAAAAATACATTTAGGATCACTGGCTGAATTAATGAGCCCTTAAACCTTGTTCCAAATTAACCCACCTGACCCAAGCCCCCCCTGATGGGGTTTGAGCTGTGTTTACCCAGGCACTGAATCCTCCCAGACACTGGAAAACCCTGTCTGGCACTCCCTCACCTCCCATCCCTCGCACCGCGATTGCACGAACCAAAACGCGCAGCCCAGGATGTTTAAGGCCATAAAAGTGAAAAAGTTTCAAGGCAAAATGTCATTTTGGTACTGCTTGTTAAGAGCAGCGTGGCTGAGTTTGCTGCAGGAACAAACAGGGATGGTTTTTGGCTGTAAAGGGCTCTCTGCCAGAGTTTTGTTACCTTTGCAGCCCCAGCTGGAATGCTGACAGAAAACACGGTGGGCTGCAGACAGACAGGGTGGGAAGAATCCACGGAGTTGGAGCATCCCGGGGGATTTTGGCCTCTCTGGGGGGATTTGGGTCTCTCCAGGGCTGCAGGGATGGAGCTGCCTCTCTCCCCACAGCGTTTCCAGGTCTCTCCCACTCCAGGGCATCATTATGACGGTTTGGAGCTCGCTGCTCGCAGCATCTCCGCGCATCATTCCCAATGAACCTCCCAGGCAACCAGCAAGGAGAGCTGCACCGAGAGCAGTGGCAGGCTTTGAAGTTGGAGTCTCTGTTCTGTTTCCAGACAGATTTTGATTTAATGATAGATGCCTGCCCTGCCAGGGAAGAAATTTCGTAATGAATCAAGCAATGTGGATATAAATAGAAGCCGCAGCGTGGAGCGAGGAGAGCAGGCTGGACTTGGGGTCGAGCCCAGCTGGGCTCAGGTCCGGGCTCAGCCACCCCTCAGGCTTTGCTCTGGTGGAGAAGCCTGATTTGGGCTCATTTGCTGAGGTGGTGAAGGCAGCAATAACGGGGCACAGCTGGAGCCAGATGTTGGTGTGAGCTGGACAAAGGCAGGGCCGGGAGCTCGGACTCCACAGGGTTTGTTCCTGAGCAAGGAGTGCCCAGCTCACTCATCCAGAGTGGGGCATGCCTACAGCTTGCCAGCAAATTATTTAAAGGCTTCAGAATCATGGACCAGCTTGGAAGGGACCTGAAAGCCTATCCAATATAATCCTAAAGATTATGGAGTATTATCTGGTTATTATCATTTATTACTGCCTCAGTAACTATAAATTCCAGTTGGTGACATCAATTATATCAACACAGCACCCTCAATTTACTCATTATCATTTAAGCTAATATCATTTAAATCTAAACAGATAAGCAAATATCATTTAAGCAAATATAATTTAAACCTAAACAACTCGGTTAAGACATAAATCTGTTTCTTAACCCAGATAAAGCAATGCTTGTTTTCTGCCTCTCCCTGGGCACTCAGTGATTCAGTCACTCTGACCAGCTGAGATTAGAGAGATCCTTCAGTTTGTAATTTTGGGGGCAGTGGCACAAGAGGCTGAGAACTGCAGCATCCACCAGCCAGCTCCATCAACAGGCTGGCAAGGAAAGCCCTCCCCAGTTCCCCACTTTTCCTCACCCTCAGCTGTGTAATTCCACCTGAGCCAGAGGAAAACACACTTCCTTTCTCTTTTAAGATATAACTTCCAGTTCATGCATGTGGTGCTGATATTCACCTTAAACACCAGCAGTGAGACGAACCCACCGTGACTTTCATTTCTCAGCTACAACATCCCTGTCAGCACTGGAGAGCTTAATGCTCTTCCTTGCACACCTATTGGCTTGGAACAAGCCTTAAAAGCATAAATAACCCTCCCCACAACATGGTGAAAGACCTTATTACAGCCTGGGATTAATTTTTTCTAATCTATTTACAAGCAAAAAAGGTCGAACTCAAATTTGACAGTGAGGGAGGGAGGCAGGATTCATTATCTCCAGAAAGAGTGGAGAAAATGGATGGGCATAAAGAGAAGATAGTTTTGGAGCTTGAATCCATGTCCCAGCCTCTAATTAAAAATTACCCAGCAAGGCACTGCCTGGCAAATGCCATTAGCTACAGGGAAAATGAAATTCCTAATTACTGAGCAAAAATATTTTAATCTCAACTTCTTTTTTTTTTTAAGCCATCTTTACTGTTCAAACCCACATTTCTATTCCATTCCTTTTCCTTCTCCATGCAAAAGCTCTGCTTTATCCTTTTATTATCAAAGAACCAGCAGGACATAACCACACATGGAGCACTGATTTTTTTTATTCAGCTGCCCTCACAAACCTCACCTTGTTTGAATTTCATCTCATCCCCTCTGCCTGCAGCTGTGGGCATGAGAGGCAAAGCTGGGTGAGGCTGGTCCTTGCTCAGCTCTGGAGAACAACCTAAAAACAGCAGAAGTGCTGGAGAAAAGGGGCCATTCCTACAATCCTAATATTCTAGGATTAGAATAATCCAAGTATTTCAGCTGGATGGGGGGAAGCGGCCGGAATCAGCCGGGATGATGTGGAATTCCGGAGAGGGAAGGGGATGCTCACACTCTGCCTCAGGTGAGTACAACTGACACAAATCTCATCCCGGGGATCTGGGGAAGTGCTCGGCTCTGGTTGCTGAGGCTGTGCCTCCCTCTCCAGGCAGCCCAGGAGCTGGCACTGCTGCTGGAGGTTTCATCCCACCCCGTTCCTCCCCAGGATCCCATCCAACCCTGCCCTCGCTCGCTTTGAGACCTTCCCCCTTGTCCTCTCACTGCCCTGCTAATTACTTGCTCTAATAATTATTATACTTGAATTATTTGCATTGATGCTCCTTGAGTAGCTGACTGCACTCCCTGGGCATCAGAGGAGTCAGTGGCCAGAGATAATTTGTATTTATCCCATGTGTTAACTGTATTTGTACGTGTTTATTGCATTTAAGTGTGCAGCGAATTTATTTATTTAACTCTGTGAAAAGAGTGCCAGGAGCTTTTTCAGTTTGTTTCCATCTTCACCGAGTGTAAATAAACCCCAGCTCGTTCAGAGCTTCCATTAGTGCTGGAGCTGGGCACCATCTCATTCCTGCCACAAGAATCTCATGGAATTCTGGTGCCTGACAAAGCAGGAGAGATGGGGAGCAGCATCCAGCACTCCTGGAGCCAGCCCAAAACACCACTCTGTGCAATTCCTACTAGGAAAAATATTCAAATGCCATTATTTTTATGGGTTATTCCTTACAAATACTGTTATTTTTAGAGGCTATTCCTTACAAATACCATTATTTTTAGGGGCTATTCCTTACAAATACTGTTATTTTTAGGGGCTATTCCTTACAAATCCTTACAAATACTGTTATTTTTAGGGGCTATTCCTTACAAATACCATTATTTTTAGGGGCTATTCCTTACAAATGCTATTATTTTTATGGGTTATTCCTTAAAAATGCCATTATTTTTCGGGGCTATTCCTCACCAGAGCCAGGCAGGGAGATGAGGGCACCGGGAGCACAGAGGATGAATTTTTATCCCAGAGCCAGCTGCGTTCTGAGGGCAACCTGGGGAACCAAATTCCTCTCAACCACTTGCTTTTTCTATGGTTTGTAACCCAAGAGAGAAGGTTTGGTGTGCCCGAGCAGCTGATCCTGGCAGGGGATGGAGGAGCTCGGTGCCTTTGGCCTGAGAAGCCACAAATCCAAGGCAAGGGAGAATTCAGGAATTCCATCCCTGCCTGGGCTGCCCAGCACAGCAAATCTCCCCATTGCTCCCAAAATCCTCGTGGCTGCTGTGGAACACGGAGCTCTTGGGTTAGGGATGCTCCAAAGCCTAAAATGGAACATCCATTCCACAGGAGGTGGAATTCTCCTTCCCGGATAATTCGGGTACCTGGAGAAGGAGACCAGGAGTCCAGAGCTTCATCCCTCCGGCAGAAAGGTTGGGCTTTATCCTAAATGGCTCTGGAGATTCCTGAATGCTAAAGAAAGGAGGATTAAAGGAAAAAGAATTAAAAAAAGGAGAACCAGAAAGCATCTGGAGTTTTAAATCCCAGACTGAATAAACAGGATTATTGACACCGCCTGAACTGAAGAGGTTTCCTGCCTGGGGCAGGGAAGAAAAGGGAGGTGAAAAAGCTTTTCTCCAGCTCAGGGAGTGGCAGAAATCGGAGATTTTTCGGTCCAATCTGGTTTTTCGGAGCCCCGAGTCTGGGGATGGGAACGGGAGAGACAAATTTCTGCAATTCCTGCAAAAAAACCCGCACTTTTAAAACTTCATCCCTGCTGTGGGCTTAATCAAGGGATAATTAGGATTTAGTGAAGCCTGCAACCTTTTCTGCTCTGCTCTTTGTGTGCTCCTCATGAAAGGGAGAAGATAAGAGCCTGCACAGCTTGCAGCCCTTTTGTTTTTGTTATCACCTTGCCAAGAATTTGTGGGTTCCCAACCAGCTCCAGAGGGAGGATCCCTTCCACCTCCTCCCCAGAGCGCAGGAAACTCCAGCAGATTTCCCTCATTCTCATTTTTCACCAAGATAATTATCAGTGGATGAGTCTCAGCAACTGTTGGAAAGCTTTTTCAAAAATCGCTTTGAAATCAGGTTTATAAAGCCCTTAGAAAAACTCCTTTCCAAAATCCGGGCATCCATTTCTGAAAACAAGCCTGGAATCGCCTGTTATCACTATTTATGTCTTCATTTTTTGAGTTCACAGCTCATTTTCTGACACTCACAGGGTGTTTAAACAATTTGGCTGTGTCTTCTGGATAATTATAATGAGCTACAGCCTCCCAAAAAACCCCAGAAAATGTGATTCTGCTCATGCTGACTTAATCTGGCTACAGCATTCATCCTCTCCCCTGGGAATACTTACAAGATGTAGAGGACTTCTTGCCAGAACAGGGGGAAGAAAGGAAAAAGGAAAATGGTTGTGATTGTTCCCTCACCTTTCCACCTGGGGAAAAGCCTCTCCAGGCCTGCAGGAATACACATCTGCCTCTCACTGCCAATTAATTCAGTGTACAAACCTCTGGGGCTTGCAAATAGCGAAAGGAAAGCCACTCTAAATGTGAATTATTGGATTTTTACCAGCCTGAGCTCCCTGTAGAAGGTGCAGGGGCAGCACAGGGTGCTTTGGGCTCCTTGTGGCAGGGTTGGATTTGCCCTGGGGTTTGCCTGAGGTGTGGGCTCCAGGTGGAGCTGGGCTTGCTCCCTGCCCTGTGTGAAAAAAAAAGGTTCACTTTTTTTTAAAAAAAATATAAAATTTAAAAAGTTTAATAGAAAGACAATTGGGAGACAGAAATAAAACAAAATGTACAAATACAGCCGGGTGCCTCAGCATTCAGCCAAGAGATCACACCCTACTAACAAAGGATTCTCCCTTAAAAACACAAATCTCTGGCATATTCATAAATTCTTGCACATGTTCAAACATTCCTCTTAAGTTTTAGATGTTCCTTTGTTTAGCTGCAACTCTCCCCTCCCCAACAGATCGATCTTGGCTCTGTTGAGTCTCACAGAGGTTCAATAAATCCAGATCGATCTTGGCTCTGTTGAGTCTCACAGAGGTTCAATAAATCCCTCCCTTGGAGCACTGGCCACCACTCTCTTCATCTGGATAAAATAATCTAAGAATGCAGGGGGGTTTCTGACTGTCCTTTCAGTCTCTGGGTTATATGAACAAAAGCAGTCTTTAATTTAATACCATGCTACAGCCTAATACATATATATATTTATAATATAAATATTAATACATATATATAATACATATATACATATATATATTTATATCTTACACCACTATTTCTAAATTTTATCAATAACAGAAATAAAGGAAACTATATTAACACAGGAAGGTTTTCTAACGTTATAAGAGTCATTTTAATATTTGTGAAAAGCCAATAATAGGAGATGTACCTATGAGCAGGGATGCTCAGGGCAGGCACCTCCTCCCACCACAGCCAAAACCATCCCCAAACTCCTCCTGGTGCCTGTGCTGGGAATTCCAGAGGGATTCCACACAGGGATGTGATCCAGGAGAGATTTGCTCCCACCCAGGAGGGAATTCATCAAACCATCAATTTAGAACAAGAAATGTCCCTGCAGAGGGGTCTCCTCCTCCCCAGGTGAGCTGCACTTGAGGTGCTCCTGGAGGGAGCCACAAGAATGATGGAGAGGGAATTTGGAGAAGGGCCTGGAGTGTCAGGACACAGGGAATGGCTTCAAACTGCCAGAGTTAGATGGGATATTGGGAAGAAATCCTTTCCTGGGAGGGTGGAGAGCCCTGGCACAGGTGCCCAGAGCAGCTGGGGCTGCCCCTGGATCCCTGGCAGTGCCCAAGGCCAGGCTGGACACTGGGGCTGGACACTGGGACAGTGGGAGCTGTCCCTGCCATGGCTGGGGGGCACTGGGGGGATTTGGGGTCCCTCCCAACCCAACCAGTCTGGGATTCTGGGATTTTCCTCAGCACCATTTGCTCTTAGCCAGGGCCAAAAGGGCCCTGAAAGGATGGGAAATGTGTGGGTGCTGCACAGCCACCTCACACTGCACAACTGGAATCGGGAATGATGTGGCTGGACAGGAACAAGAAATAGCTGGAGAACCTTTCTGCATTGGCAGGAATCCCCAAAGACACATCAGTGCCACAGGACTGGTGAGGATCACACCCTGCAGAGGTGGGATTTCATTTTTTTCATCATTACCATTATTTTTGTTGTAATTGTTATCACTATTTGTATTTTTCTAGAATCACACACCGCCGTGACAGAGCTGGGGATGAAGATTTCATTAATCACTGCTGGGTTTTGCTGGTGAGGCCCTGCAGGACCATTCCTGAGCACTGCCTGCCCCTCAGCCTTGGCCAGCTGCAGCTCCCTCACCAGCCCAGCATCCATGGAATGTTTGCCCAAACATCTGCCAGGCAGGGAACAGCAAATTAACTCGCTGTAATTAAGGCTGATCAGGCGGTGATTTGAGCAGGACCTTTCTGAAAAGGGCACCAAGAGTCTCCCCTCACTCATTAATGTTGGTAAAACACTGGAGCTCTTCACTAAATAGATGGCAAATTGTAACACGAGTTGTTTAATTAGTGCCTTGAGACAGGGCAGGCTGTTCTACAGGGGATGGACAGTGAAGGGAGGCTGGGCTTGGGCATTAAAAATGGGATTGGGAGCAGGGATCAGATGGGTTCCATCCTGTTTGTCAGCCAAGGGCACATGGAAAAGGCTGGGGTGACACCCCATAAATACCCCAGGAGAAATGGGAAGGGGAAAAAGGGGGAAAAGGGGAAAAGGGGAAAAGGGGAAAAGGGGAAAAGGGAAGGGAAAGGGAGTCCCAGTGTTGTTGCACAGACACCAGAAGCAAAGCAGAACTTTAGAAAATGAAGAGGAAGGTTGAACAATGCTCCAGCTTTAGCTGTCCCAGGCCTGGAAAAGGAATTGGAATTGTGTGTGGTTGTAAAGACTGATTTCTCCTGTGTGAATCCTTCATGACTGTGGCAATTCTCTTTGGAAACTCCACGTTTCTGGTGATCCCATGCCCAAATTTAGGAATGGTAAAGGAATTTGCTGAGCAGAGAACAGAGCTAGACTATTTCTGCTAACTTCAGGAGAGGCTGAAGGCACCCAGCTCATGATGAGCAGCTCTAAGAGGAGGAGGGATTGATAGGGAAGATGTGTGCTAATGTCTTTATAGAGGATTTGATGGATGTTAATGGCTTTGAAATGGGTCTTAATGTGACTTTGGGCAGCGGGTTCCCTGCAGAGCCTGGGCAGTTTGGCTCCTGGAACAGCCAAGTGGGGTCTGCACAAGGCTGAGCTCTGGGGTAAAACGACAGCTTCAAGGGGGAATATGTTTATATTTTATATGTTATATCTATTTTATATGTTATATCTATTTTATATGGGTTTTATAATTTATATATATTTTTATATTTTTATATGTTTATATATGATTTTATATTTTATATGTCTCTATTCAAATAAAGTTGAATCTTCTGTCTCCTTTTTGGACATAAACCTCTGACGTTTGTGGATTTTCCTGAGAAAGGGAAGGAAATGGTTATTTGAGGTCATGTGGGGTCAATGAGTCCCTGGTCAGTTATTTGGGGTTATTTGGGGTCCCTGAGTCCTGCACAGCCCTCCCAGAAAGGGTTTGGTGCTCATTCCCTCAGTCCTGAACAAATGTTTCCCTTGTCCTTGAGATCTTCCCATTAAACCCACCCTTGTCTCCTGTAGAAAGCAAGCCTGACCTTTCCCACTGAATTAAGAGCCAATTTATTCCATATTTTAAATTCATAATGAGATCAAAAGGGATAATGCTCAGCTGACCCCGAGATCAGCCCGAGACACGGGAGATAATTGTTTCCTTAATTGCCACGCCTGAATTAAATTACTTGTGCAGTGTGTGTGTGCTCAGATGAGAGGAACAAAGGAGGTGTCAGAGCCCTGGTCCTGGGTGCTGCTCTGGCAGCTCCTGACAGCTCCACTTTGTGCTGCTGAGAGCTGCTGGCCCGTGCCAGGGCCACCAAAGATCAACCAGGGCCACCAAAGATCAACCAGGGCCACCAAAGATCAGCCAGGGCCACCCAAAGGCCAGCCAGGGCCACCCAAAGGTCAGCCAGGGCTACCCAAAGGCCAGCCAGGACCACCCAAAGGCCAGCCAGGACCACCCAAAGGCCAGCCAGGACCACCCAAAGGCCAGCCAGGACCACCCAAAGGCCAGCCAGGGACACCCAAAGATCAGCCAGGGCCATCAAAGGTCAGCCAGGGACACCCAAAGATCAGCCAGGGCCATCAAAGGTCAGCCAGGGACACCCAAAGATCAACCAAGGCCACCAAAGATCAGCCAGGGCCACCCAAAGATCAGCCAGGGCCACCCAAAGATCAGCCAGGGCCACCCAAAGATCAGCCAGGACCACCCAAAGATCAGCCAGGACCACCCAAAGATCAGCCAGGGCCACCCAAAGGCCAGCCAGGGCCACCCAAAGGCCAGCCAGGGCCACCCAAAGATCAGCTAGGGCCAGCTGCACGCCGTGCTCCAGCCCTGGGAACTGAGCTGCATCCTGCCCTCGCTCAGGGTGGGGAGCTGGGACACACAGCCCTGGCAGGGCAGGGAGCTCCCACCAGCCCAGGCTGCTCCTGATCCGTCCAGCCTGGCCCTGGGCACTGCCAGGGACCCAGGGACAGCCCCAGCTGCTCTTCCCCATCAGCTGTGCCTGTCCTGGGGCTGCCAGGGGGGCTCTGCACCGTGCCAGGGGTGACAGGGACCCTGAGCCCTCCTCCCAGCCTTGCCCCCACCATGGAGAGGTGGATAAAGACACCCACCTGCTCCTTACCCTGCTCTTTATGCATTATTTACCAGTGGTTAAGGAATTGGGCTGTTACAAACTGCAGCAAATGAGGGTGGCATTAATTTTAAAGAGTCTGTAATAGCTATCAGGTGGTTACAGGATTTATTATAAATAACTTAGGGACTTGCTGAGTCCTCAAACCTGCACCAACAATTGATCACTGAATAAAAACGTTGGAGTGAGGAGCAACTGCAAGTTATTAACCTGAATATGAAAACCTGTTAAAACCTGCTCAGAAGGCCCAATTAAAGACAGAGAAGTGACACAGACATAGAAAGTAACATTACAGCCTGTTGCTCTCCTTCCAGGACAGGTGAGCCAAAGAACTAAAGGACAGCATTAAAATGAATAATATATTAAGAAGCTCTTGCATTTGCCAGTGCAAGGTGGGAGCAGCCCCAGAGCCATTCCCACCCACTGGAACTACTGGGATGAAGGAAGGAGAAGTGTGCAGGAGCAGGGAATAGCAGACCTGGAGGCTGAGTACAAAGGAGGATTAGTAGCAGGTTAATTAAAGGGTTTGTGGGAGGCTAATTGGGGAAAAAAAGCACTTGGATAATTCCCATCAAAAAATCCCCAAAGCCTCTGGCTGGAAGTCCAGCTCCAGGAGAGGAAGATGCAATCAGAGCAAAAAACAAGATTGGGGGTTGGAAGGAGGGCAGAAATCTGCACAAATCAGATGAGGGTGCTGAGGTCCCCAGGAGATGCTCTGGTGGCGTTCACTGGGCACAAAGAGGAAATGATTGCTTTGGGGAGCTCCTGAAAATCCCCTGAACAACAGAAACTGCTCAGGGCTCCCTCACAGGGCAGATTCCTTCCCAAATCCCAGCTAACCCTGCCCTGTCCCCTGTCCCTGGGACAGATGTGAGACTCCAGGAGCAGCTTTGGGCACACACATTCATGCTGACATCACCTCATTTTGGTCCATCTGCCTTTGCAATGTCAAGAAGGGGGAAAAAAAGATTTTTTTCAGCAGATTTGAGAACTTTTTACCCCAGAAACTCCCTTGACCCCCAGCTCCTGCCCCCAGGTGTTCCCTTTGAACAAATCCTGTGGCTTTGAGGGCAGCAGCTCCAGGCCAGCCCTGAGAGGCACGAGCTCCTTCCCTGATCTCACTGCATTACAAATAATTTCCATAGAAACTGGAAATATTCCCTAAACCAACAGAGGCTCCCTTATTTCCAGCAATTATCTTAAGGTCTGATTTGCATTTTAAATGTCACCTGTATAAATTAGAACTGTTTACTGTTCACACTGCCATTGTTGTGAGTCATCTGGCAACAGGCAGCTCCAGACTCCTTTGTTTGCTCCATAAGCTGCACACCAGAGCATCCCCTGGAATGTTCTCTGGGGCTGCCTCCTCTGACACAGGTGCCTGGCCCCTTCTCCAGGCTGTTAAACATTCCCTTTTCCCCTGAACTCGCTCGCTGTGGCAATGAAACTCTTGCAGAACATCACTTGGGGTCCATTTTTCAGCTGCTGCTGCAGATTGCACAGCTGTTCTCTCCTGAAGGGATCCCAGGAAGCAGCAGCATCCCTGATTTTCCAGCTCTGCTTTGCATTCTCCTGCATTCATTTTTTAAAACTTAGAGTCATTTTTAGGTTATAAATTACTTTTTTTTTTTTTTTTTCCCCTTATACTAAACTTCAAGGACAAACAGAACATCTCCACGTTTGAGAAGTTTGAAAAGCACTTGGAAAATTCAGGAAAGCAACAGGCTGTGCTCTTAATGGATCATTGGCAAACTGGGTGGCTCCCAGTTCAGACTGGGAGTCCTCTCCTGACCCACAGGGCACACAGCTGAGGCCAGCCCTGAATTCCAGCCCTTGTCTGTGTCCCTCTGCTCCCTGGATCACACCCAGCAGAGGTGGCTGAGGGTGACACAATTCTCATTTCACCGAGCTTGGAAAAGCCCTCCAGGCCCATCAGTGCAGCCTTTGACCAATCCCCACCTTCCCAAACCATTTCCACCACCTCCTCCCCACCATTTCAAACACTCAAGCCAGAAACAGGCTCTGGAATCTGCCATGCTCGCAGCAATATTCCCAAATTTCAGGTGGGAAAACCAGAGTCCAGCCAAGCCTACCTGTAGGAGATGGATGGGAACAAGCAGCACCGATGGGGAGCAGTTTTACAACACTTCACCCCAAAAATAAAGGATTTATAAAATGTCCCTGGAAGCCAGGAGAAGCTGGAAGGGCAGGTCCTGACCACCTGCAAAGACCTTCTGATAATTACTTGTTAATCACAGTCCCCTGGATCTCATTATTTCATTGCAACAATTCCCAAGAATTTTCTTCAATTATTATCCCATTTTTTCCCATCCTGCAGACAAATTCTGGCGGTTGAACCCAACTACACCTGGGATTAGAAACTGAAGAGGAGCTGCTAGAATCACAATTCCTGCCTGGAAATTAAAAACTGAGAGAAGAAAGATGCTTCCCTTAAATATTCCCCAACCAAACCTTCAATTAAAAATAAAAAATAAATAAAGCAGAAGCGTTGAAAATCCAGGAAACCTTCCCAGCTCTCTGAGGTCTGAGCCTCAGCAGGGGAGACAAAACATCCCCACTCTTTTCTCTCCAAACCAGCAGCTCCATTTTCCATCTTTCTTCCCACGTGGGTATCAGAGCCCCACAAGGAGATGTCCTTCAGCATAATTGTCCAGGAGAATTATTATTCTGAGGAAGTTTATGAAATGATTATTGTGTCCAACTTTCCAGTTCAGCTTAGAGATCAGTCTGGGTGAACTAATTCCATCTCCCTAATGACTAAATGCTTCATATTAATATAACCCAGAGCAGGCAGGTTCAAGCAGCCTGCCTTGCTTTCATTCCCTGGAATAATTAGATCTTGAGAATCATTTTGTGTCTCCTTGGCTTTCTCTAAATTTGTTGTTTCTTAAAAAAAAAAAGGTTTCCTGCACCTCCCGTTGCCGTGTGTCCTAATGGGAAAGCATGGGTTTGGAAAAGCGTGGGTGCACGGATTTAAAGCAGCTGGAAAAGCTGGAGGAGCCAGGCAGGGAGTGAATCCCTCAGGACAGGGCCAGAAATCGTGGAATTACAGCTCCTTACATGCTGTGAGACCAGGAATGTTCTGACACAGAGGGTGAAACACACAAAGAGAACCTGGGGATTGTTCCAGCTTTGGAACCTCCAAGCTGCTCCTGCAGAGAATTCCCAGAACTTTTATCCCAGTGAATCCCAGTGGGCAGGAGGAAGGAGGGAAGCAAAGCAGGAGCCTGTTTTAGCTGGGAATCCTGTGAGGCTCACAACAAAAGAACCATGGAGCACAAAATCCAGGGGCTGGGAGGGGAGGGATGCAGCCAGGCTGGGAAAACTCCTTGGGAAGGTTTTCCTCTGGGACTGGGGCAGGCTGTGTCCCACCACAGCTGCAGCCTCAGCTCCTCTTCTACAGAGTTTGGGCATTTGGTGTGGAAGTGATAGTAAAAGGTTTTAAAATCATGGAAAATTGGGGGATTTAGAAAGGAAGTTAGGCTTGGAAAGCCCTGGGAAAAGCAAGCCCTGGGAAATGTTAGACCTTGTGAGTGCTAAGATCAGGTGAAACTGCACCTGTGTAATCAGTATATGATCATGATACAATTGTTAGATGTGATTGGATATAATTATTGTTTTAAGAATCATGAGGAACAATGTTAGGGGGTTTGGGGGGATCACGAGAAATCCATGCTTGGGTAAAATCAATGCATACAATAGAACAAGGTAAATTTAATAATTAATATGTAAGTTATATAACAATAGAGTATAAAACATGTTCAACTCAAAACCAAGATGGGTCAGATTTGGGTCTGTGCACCCCTGACACCCAGAGCTCTCAATAAAGCACCTTCATACAATCATTAGTGATGATGTGCTCCTGAACACCAACAGAAGCAGGTGTAGGGTGTGTGGGACCAGAGCTTTTTAATAATTCTAACACCACAAAATGCCTGGAACAAATGGCTTTTGCTGCTGCCGTGTTCATTATGCAGGCAGAGCTGTCCCTAATTAGATAATATGAGATTTCTTGGCTCACACCAAGCAATTCAGAAGAAAGAGCTTCGTTATTGATGGGACAAACCACACAAAGCAATGGAGCAGAGTTTAATAAAGCAGAGAAGTATCAAAGAGAGAAAGGTTTTAATTCTTAATAAGTAGATCCATGGGTTTCATTAACCAGCGTTCAAAGGGGTTTTTTTAGGGTTGCTTTTATTACCTAATTAATTAAAGCCTGACCAATAAGATAGATTAGTCCAATGGAATTGCATCTTGTATTAATAGAAATACTAATTAATCACCGAGCTGAAGCATTGCTCTGCACTGGGGAGAAATCATTCCAGGGTAAATTTGGAGAGAAAGCTGGAAAGGAAAGGGGAAGGGTGGGCTGAGCATGGTTTTCTCCCCCAAAATGGGATTTTGATGACCGTGGCCAGTCCAGCTGACAAAGTACAGGAATAAATGAAAAACAATGAGTTCAACATTTTCAATGGCATTTCTGAGGTTTTAAATGAACTTTCTAAACCCCTTCCACGGCCCCATCCTTGGGTTCCATCCCCACATTCCCAGGATGAGGAGGCTGTGGATAACCCAGGACTGAGACAGGATTATCCCAAAACCTCTGGGACCTCCATCCACAAACAGCCTGAATCCCAGGGAATCTCAGCTGTGACATCAGACCTCCTTCCCTTCTCCTTATTGCACATTCCCAGCCAGGGAAAAAAAACAGGGAGGAAAAAAAAGGGAAAAAAAACAAGGAAAAAGGAAGGGAAGAAAAGAAGGGAGGAAAAAAGAAGGAAAATAAAGCAAGGGAAAAAAGGAAAAAAAAAAAAGAAACAAAACCCCCAAACAACCCAAACTCTGTTGAATCTGATTTTTTTGCCACCAAATTATGGACAATTTTCCTTCCTGCTCTCCAGATCCCAGCTCTGCTGTGCTGCATCCGTGCACTCAGGCAGGGAAGCAAAAGGAAAGGACAGGGAATCATTTGCACATAAATATTAAAAAAAGAGAATCTGTAGCTCCCACATCATTTGTTTCCTCATTAAGCAGCGTCTGCGAGCACGGGGATATTTGATCTATTAAAAATGCTTATTTAAATACTCCTTCTAGAGTTAATTTTTCCTCCTGAAGGCTGCTGTAAAAAAAAATCCATCTCCTCTGGAACAAAGGAGGGGGAAAAGCAGTTTTTCAGGCCAGAGTTTTGTGTTCCATATGAAGTTCTGTGACAGAGCCACGCTGCTGACACACCACGAGGAAGATGATTCATAGAACTTTCCAAGAGCTGTTCATGTTAGCAATGACTTAGCCCAAATGAACATTATAAATAATTAACAGTATGCAGATTGCCATTATTGGAAAGTTGCTGGGCTTTGCCCAGAGAGCGATTTCAATTATTCAGAAGTATTAATAAATTGAAATTTTATTTCTTTTTTCCCTCCCCACTTAATTTGGCTGGGTTTTTGTATTTTAGAGCACCTGCCTGGAGTGTGGAAATTCTCCCCATGATCTTCCAATGCCAAGGGAGTTCTCCCCACAATCTCCAAATTCCAGGGAGTGTTTCCCATGATCTCCAAATTCCAGGGAGTGTTTCCCATGATCTCCAAATTCCAGGGAGCTCTCCCCACAATCTTCAGGTTTCAGAGAGTGCTCCCCAAAAATCTCTGAATTCCAGGGAGTTTTCCCCACAATCTCCAAAAGCCACGAGAGTTGTACCCATGATCTCCCAGTTCCAGGGAGTTTCCCCCACAATATCCCAATTCCAGGGAGCTCTCCCCATGCTCCCCACTCTCCCCAGGGCAGGGGGCACTGGGGCACTCCCAGTCACACCAGTTGCTCCCCGTGGAGACTGGAACTCGCTCCTGGCCCCAGTAAATCCAGCCCTGATCACCAAGGCTGGGCTGGGGCTGCTCCCAGTTCCCCCAGTTCTCCCAGTGGCTCCTGCAGGAGGTCAGGGCATCCTCACCAGATGAGGTGATAAAGCCTTTCCCTGCTTTATCAGCATTACCTAAATAAAAAATAACTTCCCAGGGCTGCTGTTTGGAGAAGCAATCGTGCTGCCTCCCCTGGAAAATGGGAATGACCAACCCTGGAATGCTCTGGTGAGGCTGGAGCAGCCGCCCCGAGCTCTCCTCCTCCACAGCCAGGCAACAAAACCCACAGATCTCTGGGGAGAAAAAGGTGCTTTTCAGTAAAATGATTGCAAGCCAGAGGTCTCTCACCAGTGTGGGGACAAAGGAGGCTGAAGGGGCACAAAGCAGCTCCCAGGGAACATTTATTGGTGACTTCCAGGTGGATCAACCATGCAGGAGGTGATCAGTGACACAAAATCCCTCCCCAAAAGCAGTTCCAAGCCCGGATAAAGGTGACCATCCCTAGGAATTAGAAGCCCCTTTCCCACTGGGTGATGCTTTGCAGCTCCCTGGGCAGGGATAATCCCACATTTTCCTGGGAAGCCGTGGAATTGCTTTTCCCAGAGCTCCCCCTTGGACACAGCGAGGTTCCAGTGGCAGAGCCAAAGCCTCCAACTGTGGCACAAGGGAGGGCTCTGCTGGAAGCAAACCAGAGCTACAGCACCACAGACCTCTGGCCTGCTCTGCAACTCTGAGTCCCGTGCTTTTTACTCTAAAAAAAGCGAATTTCCAACCCATTTTTGGATTTTAAATCTTGTGTCACAAGCGATCTTACTACACTCCCGTCTCCCAGGAAAGCAGCAATGGCAGAGAGGGGTTTTTTTGAGATAATTTTGTAATGTGGGCAGGAAAGGCTGCAATCAAAGCACTCAGTCCCAAACCAGAGCTGCTCAAGCCTCTGGGAGCAGATAAAGCAGCAAGACAAGATAAGGAATGACAGCAAACAGCGGCTCAGGGCAGTGATTCCACTGGGAAATGTGCAGGCACAGGGAAAACATCAGGGCTGGGTTTTTTTGCCCCAAAATCAGCGTCTCAGCCTCTTTACACTCACTTTAGGACTGACACTTAGAAGTCTGTTATCCAAAAACCCAGAGGGACTTTAAAACCACTGCAAAATTCCCATCCCTGATGTTCAACAGACATTTCCCTGGAACGTGGAGTTTGATCCAGACACAGCAAATGTCCCATCAGCTCTGCACAGCAAAGCAGGAAACAACACAAGAGATAATGCCAGCCAGAGAAAAACAAATCCAGGAGGGAAAAGCAGCAGAAGAGAACCAATAAATCAAAGTGATGGTCAGACAGCTCATTTCCACGTTCCTGTTCTCAAACCCAGCACGAGCTGTTTCCCAGGCTGGTTATCCATGAGCTGCAGAGAGCCCTGCAAGGTTCTTGGTGCAGAATTCCCACCTGAACCAGGTTTTTCATGGACAAGGGATTGGGAATCCCAGCAGGGAGGTCAGGACCTGCTCACGAGACCAGGAACTGCCACACTTCACTTATCCCACATCAATCCCTGCTCTCAGCTGCCCCCAAATCCTCAAGGAGAAAGGGGACAGGGGGAGAAGAAAGAGCCCTGTTGTTTTGGGCTTCCTGCAGGAAGAATAAATGGGATTCCCCCAGCTCTAACCAGATGAAATCCCAGTGTACAGAAGGTGCAGGGAGATCCCCTACAAGACAAACACACATCAGAGTAGTCAAACACACTATTTTTTAATGCAGACCTGCAAAACACAAGCCAAGTGTTGAAAATTCAGGACATTTCATGAAAGCACATTTGGTCCTCTTCCAAGTTTCCTGTCCTCAGTTAACACTTCATGGATAAATAACAATTAAGCATACATGGCACTTTTAGTTAGGAAAACCTGATATTGCACATGATACCAAGAAATATAAGAGACTGTTTCAGCAAGTGATTCCAGCACTGTCACCAGTTCCATTTTGATGCCATTCACTTGTACACAAACTCTCATTTTAGTGCCTAACAGGTGCCCTGTCCTTACAGAGTAAAAACATATCCAAGCAGTTTTAGAACAAAGAGGAGGTAAAGTTGGCTCCTGAAGGAACAGAGTCTTTTACCACCAGCCTCTGTGAGGATAAAGAGCATTTCTGTGGAAAGATGACTGTCACATCACCTGGCAACAGAAATTCCAAAGCAATTCCCAAGGGAAGCTGACCATGTTGGGCTGGAAGGCTGCAGTTCCTGTCTGGGCTGCTCCATTCTCAGCCACCTTTCACTATTCCTGGCAATCACAAGGAAAACACAATGGCACAACAGTTGTGCAACTTCCTCAGGGTGGTGGAATTCTCTCTGGAAAGCTCTGGAAGGGATTCAGCCCTGGGCTCAGGAGTTCAGAAGGCGCAAGCACAGGGAGTGGCCAGTGCCACATTCAGGGAGCTACACTGGGCTCAGGGACAAACCTGGACCAGAAGCCACCACTGCACTGGGTGTGTCTGTCCTGGTGTCCTGGCCATGCCAGAATCCTGTCCAATCCATCCCTGATCCCTGTCCATCCCAGAATCCTGCTCACTGAGTTTTCACAGCCAGGGTGGGATGCTGTGCTGGGCTCCCACCCCACCACTTCCCACTGCAGAACTGCTGAGCCCAGCTGGGCCCAGCCCTCTCTGCCCCTGCCTCTGCCCATCCTCTGCCCTTCTCACCCTGTACTGGCTGCAAGCACAGCCTGAACCTCTCCCAACCACCCTGAATTCCTGTTTTCCTTTCAAAGAGACACTCCAGCAATACCTTTGGCAAAGCTGGAATCACCAGCTGCCTCAAACACCAAGGCAACCCACTCTATTGCAATATTTTGGGCAATTTTAACACATTTCCCTCTCCCCCTTCCAACCCTTCACCCCTTCAAATACACATAATAAGACTAAGACTTGATGATTTTTTTTTTTCTGCCTGAATACAAGATTCAACTATCATGGAATAGAAGTTTCTATAACAAAGTCCCTGAGATGCATCTGTACATTAAAAGATTCCAACAATAACCTCTCCAGCACAAACTTCATATTTATTAGAAATGTTTTGACTTGCAACACGTGGTTTATGGAAACCAATGTTGTTGTAAGAAGGTGAAAATACAGCAGATCAAGTTGCCCTTGTATTTATACCTCAATTTAAAAGTAATTAACCCAAAAAATAACATTCTACTACTTCAACTGTAGTCAAATTTAGAAGTATATAAGCAACAGGAAAAACACTGGAAAAAACCCCAACTTGTTATATTTAAAATAGTTGTTTTGGCCTCAGTTTGTTCTCATCCCTCAAACCCTTAACTGCTTTCCTCCTGGAAGTTCACAGATGCTCTTCCAGGATCTTAAAAAAGAAACCAAATATCTCTTTTGAAGTGACTTTGGGCTCCACTGTATTTCGCAACCAGCTCATCAGAAACACTTTTCCATCTTCCCAAGGAAGCTCAGTTTTCCCTGCTAGTGAAGAGAACTTAAGGCACTAACACATGAATCCTGTCAGGAATGTGAAATAGTTTGTTCTTCATGTACTGTGACACCAGCTCTTAGCAGCATCTCTCCTGAAAAGGCACTACAACGTGGCAAACAAGGAAACTTTGGGAACTTCTGCCTGAGTGGCTTTGCAATTCCCCTTTCCCTCCCCCCATTCCCTTCCAAAAAGGCACCTGGATTGGTTTGATCACTGGTTCCTGCAGCTGTGGGCTCTCACAGCCCTGCAGCTTCCATCAGCTGTGAGCGTCAGGGATGGCAGACTCTACCAACAGCTCTTACACCACCAGGAGTTCTCTTTCCAAGAGTACACAGAGCAGTTCTGTTTCAGCAAACCCAGTGGGTTCCTACCTGAGAAGACCTTAAGGTTGTGTATTGCTAGTCAGAAAAATTCAAATAACTTGGTGTAAAAAAATTGCACTTCCCCACTCCTTCCCCAAGCCCCGAGGTCATTTCAAATTAAATACCAGACCCTGCTCTAGAGGGACATTTGTAACACAGCTACAAAGAGGTAGCTAAGTGGAACAGGCCAATTTGCCTTCTTTTTCTCCTAAAATATATTCAGCCTTCATTTGCAACAACATTTTTCATAGGAAGTCTTGAACCAAGAGCTGTTCAGGTGGCACAGGAGGTTACCCCAGCTCGGACTGAGCTCCGTCTCCTTTGTGTCCACGGCTGACCCAGGCCCAGGGGACACCTGGGGGACTCAGCCTGTGCAGGGAGCAGCTGAAGGGGGAGGAATGTCTGCAGAGGAATCCCAAGCTCCTCTGAAGTTTCCCTGCAGGGTCCCTCAGATCAGTCCCACCATTCTGTCGATCTGTCTCATGTAGTTGCTCTTCAGGGGCAGCAGGTACCTCCTCTCATCAGGGACTCTGTTACACTGTTGAGGAAATTTAAATCTTTTTCAAAACTCAAACCCAAACCCAGGCAAGCCCATCCCCTCTGCAATCCTTTCAGATCCTCCCAGTACAGAAAACTGTACCAAATAACACTCTTTACTCCAACTTTCCCTCGTTCTTTGCAGACTTCCAGCACAAATCCCATAAATGAGCAGCAAGTGTTTCCTCAGTGCAGGCTGCAGCTTCCAAACACACAGCACAGCTTGTTGTGCAACTGAGATTTCCTTCACTATGACAACTGTGAATGTTTAAAATAATGCTCTTTTTCTGGAGCTTTGCAGGGAGGAGGGAAGGAACCACACAGAGATTTAAAAAAATTGTCCTTAGCTGCTCTAGGGGAAGGTGTCCTTGCCCATGGGGGCGGAATGAGATGCTCTTTAAGCTCCTTTCAACTCAAAGCATTCTGTGATTAAAACCAGTTCTGTTCTGGTTGGGGATGGGCACTGGAGCCACAGCTCTGGGGCCAGTTGAGGCCTTGCTAAGAAAGGTCCCCTCTACAGCCCCCAAAACCACACTGAGGAAGACAAAGTTTGGTTTAGATGACTCCCTGCTTCTCCCTTTGCCCCTGACAGCAACACTGGAGAGTTTTAAGGGCAAAGGAAAGGGGAAGGGAGAAATAATTGAAAGTAATTTAACAAAGAACAAAAAAAATTGCTGCAAAATACTTCAAAGGGGACGAGTTTCACCTGCACCAGGATCCCTCACATCACCCCACTTCACAGGGGCTTCTCAGGTACTTCACATTTCTAAAGGAAACACTCCACAGTGCCACCTCCAAAGGGCTCTGGTTGTCCTGCCTGCCCCTTCCCGTGCCCAGGCAGGAGCAGCCTGAGCATTCCTTACGTTGGAGCTGAAGTTGGCTGCCTTGAGCTCGGTGGGTTTGGTTTTGGGGGCGCTGCCCTCCTGTCCAGGGAGGATGTCCTCCCACAGAGAGTTCCGGAAGCGCTCGTCCACAGACACGATGTGGCCCTCAGTAGTAAACATGAACTTGTTCCCAGATTTATGCACTGGATTCTCTTCATCAAACAGCTGAAGGAGAGATGGGAGAGACAGTCATTGTAGGTGTGCCACATCCTTCATCTCCCAGTAAACAAGGAGCTGGAAACAGGTACTCACGCTCTGAAGGATCACACAAAAATACTTTTTAGTGCTAAATAATGCTGGAGCAAATGGAAATAAATAGTCTTAATGCAAGGGATTGATCCAAGCAGTTAGGAGAGCAGAAGAAAAAACTTCTCACACAATTTAAAGTGCCCTTATTTTTCTAAGCTGCTCTGTGAGGCATTTCTAGGCTGGCATCCACTCAGTCACAGATTTATTTGGTTTTCTGCACTAAAGGAGATTGAGAACAGGGGCTCAGGCAATGTGAGCCCAAATGCTTTCCCCTGTGAGTGCCCAAGCCCAGAGGGGAGAAAGCAGAGGCTGCTCCAGGCAGAGGGGCTGCAAGCAGCAATAGCTCAGAGCAGAGCAGCAGCTCCCTCCAGTCCTGCTCCCTCTCCTTTCCAACCTCTTCCCAAAGACCTGCAGCTCTCCAGGCTCAGGAACCACTCCTGGGCAGCTGCCTCAGCTCAGGGATTGGGGTGAGGTCAAAGACATCAGCCTGAATCACAAACCCAGAGCCCAGCAGTTTGGCATTAATGATCCATCCCCAACCCACCACAGTTTCTAATTAATAATTAATAACCTCCTGCCCCCTCCTCTGCCATTTTTGTGCAGTGTCTTGGCAGTGAGGAACACACACATACCAGGTACAAATATTTACAGGTTTCACTGAGGAAAAAGCTCTCCATTCGATCCTCCTTCGTCTTCTCCACCACGTGGTGCAACGTGGCATAGCCACACCTGCAACATTGGACATTGGTTTGGGGTCAGTTCCAGCTGTCCTGCTCTCAAAGTGCTCCCCAGACACTCCTTCACTTGAGAGCATTCCAACTGCCAGGGGTGAAGTTCAAATGCAACAATGGTGTTGTGCAAGCACTCACTGGTTATTGGTCCTGGGGTGCTGAGGGGTCTGTGATCAGCTGCACCCCACTCAACAGCAATGTCTGACCTGGCCAATCATTGCACATTTGTCTAGGAAATGAGTCAATTAATAATAAGGAATAAAAATTCATTGTCTTCCCTCTGAGCCTTGCAAGAAGTTTGGCTACTCAGTATTAAAGTCAGGATTCACTGCTGCTGTCTTGAACTGGGAGTTGACATCCAACAGCATCTGGCTTAGGGGCCATCCCTCAGTTCAGCTAAACACCATGAGGTGGGAAATAATCTTGCAGGATCCCTAGGAAAAATCCCAACTACTATTTTCAGCAGTTTTTAGCAGCTGATCATCAACAATGCATTTTGAAAGGCAAGTGATAAAATTCCAAAGGTATAAAGCTGCCATGGACTATAGTTTCATTTTCAGATGGGAAGGAAAGAAGTGCTCAATAAATAAATCATCACTTGTGGCTTTCAAGGAGGGCTGGGTTTTCTGGTTTACCTACATGTGGCAGACTGGATTCTATGTAATATTTGTATAATAAAATGTAGGTATATAGCACTGAGAGAAGAAAAGAACATTGAAGACTGACTTTGCTTTTGTATATTTTTCCAAACTCTGCAGAATATCCATTCCCACATGAAGGTAAAACGGGTTCTTTGTGGCCTAAATAAGGAAGACAGACAAGAGTTAGAGTCAGCAATTTTGAAATCTTGTAAAAATAACACAACAAAGGCCTATTGGTACCAGAGTCTTGTGTATCACAGCAAAGTTATCTTTATAGGAGCATGATTTGGATTAGCCAGTGCAAGCTTCTCACATTTGCTTTAGTGCAAATCCTAGAAAACCTGCAGTAAATCCAAACTCTCTGATCCCTTCCTTGTAGGCAGACAGTAATTTTAGTTTATTGTATCTGTGCCTGGACAGTATTGCAAGGGAAGCTGTTACATTTACTTCAACAATTTTGGTTGAGCGGTCACAAGTCTCTGCCTTGTAAAAATCTGCCAGCAGCTTTTAGAAAAGGTTGTTTAGTGTTGTTTTTGCCTTCCTTATAAAAAAAGGCTATTTTTGAAGCAAACAGCAGAGCAACAGCATTGCACAACACTGCAGTGCCTGCCCAGGGACTCCACATGACAACAGGCAGCTCCAGCTGGCCACGGGTCAGGGCAAAAGGGACTTTCTGAACAAAAGCCTTTTGGCCAAGCCATGATGTGCAACTCAAGAAGTCAAATACCTGATAAAGAAGATATGTGGACTCCACCAGCTCCGGCCTCAGCGGGTAAAAGGGAACATCTGGGGCCTGCAGCTGCCAGTTGTACCTCTCTGGGAGAGCTCCATAGCGTTTCCAGATGGCATAATAGAAGGCATGGAGACAAATGGCATCTTCCACATCTCCTATCAACACCTGGGCACGAGAGCAGCCAGAGACATGCACATTTAGTGCTGCAAGGCAGCAAAGATGAGAATGTGGCACCTAACACAACTCTTCTCCCATAGAACACGCAGAAAATAACCCCCAGAAAGTACTAATGTATTCGTTCTTTGCAGTAAAAGTATAAGCAGCACAGAATAAGAATGCTGAGGTTAAAGGAGGGAAATTGAAAGTCTCTCAGATCTAGCAGAGAGCAGGCCAGGCCTCTCCACATTCTTGTGTTAATGCAGAGCTGAACTGAGCTCTTATCAGAGCAGCCAGATGCAAACCCACAGGTGGGAGCTCAGCTCAGAACTCGGCCTCATTCCCAGCCCAGGATTAGGATAAGCATTCCCACTTGGCCTTGACCAGAAGGAAAGCTTACCTGCAGTCCAGGGAAGAAGGCCTGCAGGGAGTCAATCCAGGTGTTCATCAGCTGGCCCGTGTACATGTTCACGTTGACGTACAGGGGAGGGTCCCCTTCTCCTTCGTTGCAGGCCTCACGACTGCAGGAGACGAGAGCAACATGGAAATGCCTCAGCTGCAGGAGAACACAGCACACTGCCACCAGCACAGGCAAGCAGCCACTGCTTCGTGTGCTGGGCTCCTTGTGAAAGGAACCAAACATCAGCCACGCTCCCAGACAAGCTCATTCATAAAGGGATGTATCCTATCCAGCAGAATCTCTACCAAACAGTCATGCTAGGCAACATCAGGCTTTCAGAAGAGCAAAGCAGCCAATTGAATGCATTTCTTTTGCAGTGCCAGTCTTTTCTCAGTCTTAACATTTTTAAATGGGACAGGAACCAGTTTGGCTTCTCTGCACCCCATCAGTTGCTGAGGAATGAGGAGACTGCCATGGAAATGAGATTTTGCTTCTTACAGTAACAAGAACAGATTTTCCAGAGTGTGACACAAAGCACTATAAACAGATACGTTTCAGATCTTGCTGGAGGATTCACTGCTCAGGGAATTGATGCTGAATGAATCACATACCCTCTCCTCAAGTGGTTCTGAATGTTCTGATAAGCAGCGTTGAACATTTCCAGGTCTTCCTTTTCCCCAAAGAGGATGTAGGACTTCAGCAGGTACTCATAGAAGGAATCTGACCCTGCTCCCAGTCCACTCTGCTTTCCAACCCAGTGGCCAGTCTGGATATTCACAACATTTCCTTTCAGAACAAACAAAAAGTTTAGTCTGAGTTTGCTGAGTATATCAGAGAAAAACAATCCAGACAAGATTTGGTAAAATTACATGTTTGGAAATTCCCAAGGAGGAAGGATCAAAGATTGGCATCAGATGAAGTGTTACAGTGGTGGATTCATCTGAGGAACACCCACACACACACAGTTATTTTAAGTACTTTTAGTCATCTGCCAATCTGAATTATATTAATGGGGATACAAATCAGGGCCTTCAGTTCCATTCCCCAGTTCTGTGAAAAATTCCATTTGAAAACCTGTGCCCTAAAGGGTTTCAGAGACTCAATTTTTCTTACAAAACGCCAAAGCACCACTAGCTCAACATACCCCCTGGGAACACCAGGAGAACGTGGCTGACCAGCTACAGAGGGAGCAGAGGGACAAAGGTGAGGCCACCTGAAGGAGCTGATGGCACAGCCTGAGCTGTGCCATTACCCAGCCATTACCCAGCAGTCCAGTGTTATTGCTCCTGAGGCTCCACAGGGCCTTCACAGCTCTCCTGGCCACCCATTCGAACGTGGAATCACCAAGCAGTCTGCTGAGGATCCCAAACTCCACCAGCAAGGATCCAGCTCCTGCTGTGCACGTCTCGTTGTGGCTGTCTGGAGGAACCCCCTTCTTCAGGTTCACCTGTGAACAGGGACAATCCAACAGGGCTGCACTCAGCCAGCTGTGCTCACAGCTGCACCCTCACCTTTAGGAACAAGCTTTTTTGGTAGTTTTTGCACAGTGTGCAGCGTGAAATGTGCACAGAGACACAAAACCAGCATGCTGCTGCTTGGAAAGCTTTCCTGTAGGATTCCTGATATTCTTCCAGCTTTACAGCATCATGCTTAAAGGGGGCAGGCCTCATTTTTCTCTTACACTTGCTAACCCTTGCAGACTTCACCCCACTTTTTCATGCTTTCCATTAAACATTCAGGCTTTTCCTTCTTTGCTGCCCCTCAGTTTGTGCTGCTGAAACCAAGAGCTCCTCCCCTTCCTCATGGAACCAAGAAGCTGCAGCATCCAAGAATCCTGGAATATTGAGTACCCACTGAGCAGTCTTCAGGAAAACTATGAACTCCAAGCCCAGTATGATAAAGATTTCAGAAGAGTTTTATTCTAATAGAATTCAGTAGCAAGTCAGGAACAGAGTCCCTTTCCTCAGCTATTTGCCTTTACAGTATTCCTTGTTAATGACAGGATTGTTTGCTGCTCAGTATTCCTTGTTAATGACAGGATTGTTTGCTGCTGTGTGACACAGGGCAGGGAATGCTCCAGCCAAACAGCACAGGAACAAATGACTCCTGACCCACAGGGAACAACAAACACAGCAAAAAATCAGCCCAGGGAAAACATTTACTAGACAGAAGGAGCAAACTGAGTAACCCATGTCACCAAAACTTGGGGCAGTTTCCCCTGTGTCATTTTAGAATAACTTGGAGCAGGCTCAATACCCCAAGTGTACATAAAAGGGCACAAAATTAAAATTGTATGACAGGTGAAACATTGTTTTGAGCCTATTTCCCCCAGGGCTGCTGTGTCCACTCACCCGAGGATAGGGAATGCCAGTTTTGGTGTTCTCAAAGGCTGGGAGCAGCCTCACTGCCAGGTCATGAGCCAAGTGCAGCAGCTCATTGTCATAATCCTTAATGGTCATATCACCAAAGGGCTGCTTGGTGTCTGTGATTATGATGTGGGCAGACAGCAGGCTTCCCAAAACCCTGTGGGAAAAGGAAAATTCAGGTTTTCAGTCTGTTCTGAACCTCACTCTTCACCTGAACACCTTACTGGCGTCATGTCTGACAACAGGCACTACACAAGATGATCTGGTTTTCCCCCACCAGTGGGGAACATATGTAGAAATCATGCTGTTGTCAGCCACAGTATCCCAAAACCTGGTTCTGCAAAATTTACCTAACCCAGGAGTTCTTGTAACAAGTCTGTTTAGGAGTGAAGACCTGCTTGTCCTTGCAAATGGCAGGAAGGGTGTTAGATAAACTTAGTACTCAGAGAAAAAAAGGCCAAACACTGCTTGAGGCACTCAGAAAATGAAACCCTTTAAAATCAGACAGGATCCAAACCCATTTCCAAGACCAGAGACTTTTTCATCTAAAATAAAAGTGAAAGTGAGCAGAAGTCTATGAAACCAAAACAAAGCAGGGAAAAGCTGTCCTAGGGTTGTTTCTTAGGCACAGATCTGAGTCTCTGCTGCAGGAGTGACAACAAAAAAGCAGAGTCTGCAAGCACAGAGCCACTGTCTCACTGCTCCAGGTCACACGGGACTGATTAAAATTGTTTCCAGTATGAAAGGATGGAATATTTCCACAGAAGATTAAGAAACAGCTTACTGGAGGAACAATTTTGGGAATAAAACCTGCCAAAGAGCTCCTAATCAATGATTTCACTTTGAATTACACACACCAAGTCTTTAACCTTGTTAGTACTTTAAAGGCAGAAGCTCAGCACCACATACCTGATTGTTGCCTCAAAAACCTGGACTGTTGAGTCTTTATCAAATGAAACTGTGTCAATCACCAACTTCACTGCCTTCTGGAATTCCGAGGAGTTTCCCATGACCTTTTACAGAAAAACAAAGCTAGTTTGTACAATTTTTGCTTCAGAAAAGAGTTGGGGAAGAGAATGGTAAGTTCACATCTTAGCCCAGCAGTCAGATTTAGCACACTGAGTGTTCAAACTGCCTGAACTATCAGTTCAACAGTTAAGACTAGCTTAAAACATAACTTGCAGAACAATAAAAGTTTGATTTAATGTTTATTTGACCAAAGGTCAGTCCAACCTCTCAGGTTCCTGACCCAACACTGCACATCCAGGAGTTCCCCTGTGCCTGCTTCCTACAGGTCTAACCTAGGAAGTGATTTCCACTGCATCCAGAGACAGATGTAAATTCTGCCTGAGCTTCAGGGGAGCAGGAATGTGGAAGAAAAACACAGGTTCCTGCTTGCCTGAGCTCACAAAAAGGCTGGGACAGACCTAAATTTTTAACCAAAGCAGCAGGTGCCAGCTGTCCCCATTACCCAGCCCCAGAGGGGAAGCATCACGTGTCTGATCTGAGCACTGGGGAGAACAGGCTTCCCCCATGCAGGAGCTTCTGAAACACAAGAGACTTTAGCAACCAGAACCTTCACATTTGAGAAAAGAACCTGAGCACTGCCCTGATGGTGATAGGACAGGAAGGCACCATCATCAGCCACGCAGCACAGATCCCAAACTTCTCTCTCAGTAAAACCCAACATTTCCCTCACTTCTGCTTTCAGCCCTGCTCAAGCAGCTCCTCAGCACTGCTGCAGTCCCAGGTAAAATGGGAAGCATTCTATATATATATATATATAAAACCTATATATTTACATCCCAAAGAGCCCAAACCACCTTCTGCACCTGACTCCTCACATTATCTTCCAGTTTTATCAGAAATGCAGGCAGCTTTACAGGTGTTCCCCTCCTTCCCTTCACTCTTCACACAGATGTGAGTGTCAGGCCCTCTCTGCCAAGTGAAACAACCAGAGCTCTTCCAGCTATTGTGCACACAATGAGCCCTCCTCCTGCTGGACCTCTCAGCAACTCACAGCACTTCCAGTTCAAATCCACCCATCCTGAGCACCAGAGTGATGGCATATCCCAAAGAGATGAACCTCGGGGAGGAGCTCCAAAATATCCTCTGGCTCTTCAGGAAATCTCTGCTGACATCTCCAGCTACTGGCATTGTGTTACCCCCATGTGACCCTGCTGGTTTATGATCCAGCTGTTAGCTCATGATCCAGCTGTTAGCACCACCTGGGCAAGCCCTGGCAGCACCCCCAGGCAGGGCAGTCCCTGGGGTGACCAGAGCAGTGTCCCCAAGCCAAGGACTCACCGCCAGCGTGTCCAGCGCATCGATCAGTGTCAGGGAGTAGTTCCCCAGCACATCGTTGATGTTCAGGTTGGAGCTGGAAGAGCAGAAAACACACAATTGTTAAGGTTGGAAGAGATCTGTGCAGATCATCCAATCTAACTCCCTGTCCAGACAGGGTCACCTGGAGGAGGTGACACAGGAACTATCTAGTTCCTAGGTATGTTTGGAATGTTTCTAAAGGGGAAGGCCCCACAACTCCTTGGGCAGCTGTTCCACAGCTCTTACCCATTATGGAAAGGAGATCATTCCAGTACCTGAAGGGAGACTACAGGAAATATGGAGAGGGACTGGAGTGACAGGACAACAGGAAATGGCTTTGAACTGAAGTGGAATAGTTTCACATTTGATATTAACAGGAAATTGTTCCCTGGCAGGGTGGGCAGGCCCTGGCACAGAATTCCCCGAGCAGCTGTGGCTGTCCCGGATCCCTGGCAGTGCCCAAGGCCAGGCTGGAGCAGCCTGGGACAGGGGAAGGTGTCCCTGCCATGGCAGGGGTGGCACTGGGTGGGCTCTGAGGTCCCTTCCCACCCAAACCATCCCACAATTCATACAGAGGTGGAACTTATATTTTAGCTTATGGCCATTACCACCTAACCGCGGCTGAGCAGCACCGGGAGGAGGCTGGGCCCAGCCTGCCCCACAGGGAGACACACACAGGGCCCCATGCCAGCCCCGGGCCCAGCAGC